GGAGATTTACATGGAGCAGCCACTAGGTTTTGAGGCACCTGGTATGGAAGGCAAAGTTTGTAGACTCAAAAAGTCACTCTATGGACTTAAGCAGGCTCCTAAACAGTGGTATGAGAAATTTCATAAAACTATTCTTAGTTTTGGTTTTGTTGTGAATGGTTCGGATGCTTGTGTGTATTCGAAGATGTTTGAAACTGAATGTGTTATCATAAGTCTTTATGTTGACGACATGTTGATTTTCAGTTCTAACATTGAGTCCATTAACAAAGTTAAAATTTCTTGTCCACTAAGTTTGAGATGACAGATTTGGGAGAAGTAGATGTAATCTTAGGAGTCAAATTACCAAAACTGAGAAGGGATTTTCTTATGTCAAGCACATTATATAGAGAAAGTGCTAAAGAAATTTGACAGTTTTGATGTCGTCCCTGTTCGAACTCCTTATGACCCTAGCATACATCTAGTTAAGAATAAAGGAAGTAGTGTTTCCCAAACTGAATATGCTAAATTAATCGGAAGTTTAATGTTCTTAATGAACTATACTCGGCCTGATATTGCTTATGCTGTGAGTAGACTAAGTAGATATACTCATAATCCGAGTGGTGAGCACTGGATTGCGCTTAAACGCTTACTGAAGTATCTTAAGGTACTGTGAATTGGAAACTTGAGTTTGTTGGCTTTCCTGCGGTATTGGAAGGATATTGTGATGCCAACTGGGTTTCTGATAATGATGAGGTAAGCTCTATGAGCGGGTATGTTTTTACTTTGGGTGGAGCAGCGATCTCGTGGAAATCATCAAAGCAGACTTGTATTGCTCGTTCTACCATGGAGTCAGAGTTTATAGCTCTTGACCTAGCTGGGCAAAAAGCCGAGTGGCTCAGAAGCTTGTTAGCAGATATTCCGTTGTGGGAAGACCGACTCCTCCAGTTTCATTGTTGTGTGATTCACAAGCTGCGATATGTGTGGCTAAGAACCAAGCTTACAATGGTAAGAAAAGACACATTCGCATAAGACATGAATCAGTTAGACACTTGATAAGAATGGAGTGCTCTCTTTAGAGTATGTGAAGTCGGAAAGGAACCTAGCAGATCCACTTACCAAAGGGTTAAGTCGGAAGCTGGTCCTAGATTCGTCGAGGGGGATGGGTCTAAAGCCCATTGGTTGAGGAATTCATGGTGGATACCCAACTTAGTTATCTAAGTTCCATGTGGTCAAACGAAACCATGGAAAGACTCATAGTGCACATTCCTACTGCCTATCCCTATGATGAATAATGTGCATGCCCAGGATGAGCTTAATTGCTCTTAATAAATTCATAGCCCAGGCTTTGGGTGGTCTTAGTGAGAAAGACTTGATGAATTTACCGATTTGGCTGAATATCTATTCTTAATAAGTTCATAACCCAGAGTGAGTGGGTAGGAAATGATGAACTTACCGACAGAAAGGTTGAGTTTGTTAAACTCTTAATAAATTCAAATCCAAGTATTTGGATGGTTCTAGTGAGAAGGACTTATTGAATTTACCGATAAATGAGGTTGAATATTTATTCTTAATGACTTCTTAGCCCAGAGTTTGGGTGGTTCATTTATAATGAACTTGAAAAAAGTCACCATACCCTTTGTGAGGTTGAGCTATTATAAAAGCTCTTAATTATTTCATATTCCTTTTTAAAGGGTGGTTTATGTTGAGATAAACTTGATGAAATAACCTATGTAAGTGAGAAGGGTTAGCCGCCTTCTATGAAAAATGTTGGGCTATTTTCTAGCACACTTACTAGAATCCTGAGGTAAGATGGCCAAATATACTTTTGTATATATATATCTTACACATCGAGGACTCAGGTGGATGAAGGGGTTAGTTTGTGTTATGAGTTTACCCTGATCTTAGAAAGTTCCAGACAGTTTCACTTATCTAAGAGAAGGATTGCTCATCATCACTATGTACTAGTTCCAGATATGTTCACTAGTGCTTAAGCAACTAATCTCGCTATTACTCTTCTGGAAAGCTTGTTTTCGAGTTTCAGAAGATTTCTTTCGCATTAGTGGGGGAATGTTGGTAATGCTCAATCCCATAGTGTTGGAAACACTATTGGGAATGATATTAAGGCTTGACATTCCACTTCCTTGTTGAGTGATAGAGAACAAGGGGGGCTCTCGCGCACCGCCGCCGCCGTCCGTCCGTCTCGTCTCGGCTCGGCACGGCACGGCACGGCTCGGCTCGGCTCGGCTCGTGGTCGTGGTCGTGGTCGAGGTCGAGGTCGAGGTCGTGGTCGTGGTCGTGGTCGTGGTAATACGTGTCTTCGACACGTCCGCGCGGATACTATCTTTTTAGAGAAAATTCTGAGGAATTTCTCTTTGAGAAAAACAAATGGAAAATGTGAAGATATCAACTGATATCTTTATAGAGGCTGCTGAGGACTGTTTGAATTTCAATAATAAAGCTGAATTATTTTTTTTAATTCCAGGGGTTACATGATATAATTTCGGGAGTTAGTTAACAGCTGAATAATGATACAATGAACCTGGACTATTTCTGAGTCAGGTTCATCTAGTCGTTTCAGCTGTTACAAATAAGAGGTTTAATCCTGAAATTTTATGGACGACTTTAACCCTATTTCTAGCCTATAAATAGAGAGCTATATTCAGCTTCTCAACTCACTAGAGGAGACAGCTGTTAATATCAGGAGTTACAGGAGTTATTTGATTTAATTCCAGGGGTTACATGATATAATTTCGGGAGTTTAACAGCTGAATAATGATACAATGAACCTGGACTATTTCTGAGTCAGGTTCATCTAGTCGTTTCAGCTGTTACAAATAAGAGGTTTAATCCTGAAATTTTATGGACGACTTTAACCCTATTTCTAGCCTATAAATAGAGAGCTATATTCAGCTTCTCAACTCACTCCAAAACATTCACAATTCACTTACCAAAGTGTTTTCTAAAGTTCTCTCTGTGAGTTCTCTCTGAGTGCTTTCCGATCAGAAGTGCAATACCACCAGCAGTCCACTCCGGTTTCGGGTGTACGGAATTCGGAGCGACCGTGTTAACCTCGGGGGACGGTCCGCCTACTGCAGCGATTACACACATCGAGGCGAATTCGTTTCTAAGGCAGTGGTTCTTACCACGACACGGTTTACGAATCTGTTCTTCTTAATTACTGTTTATATTTTCAGTCAGTGCTAACGGTGTAGTTTTGCAGTTCATATATCCAACAAAGTGTGAACCAGTTGAATGATAGTATCATGCTATCTTTGAGTGAGCTTTCGTCTCTGCGGTATTTATATCTACAAGGCAATCAAATCCAAGGATCAAGTCATTCAAAGGGTAAATTAAGTTAATTATTCAAATAAACTTAAACATGGAATATTATCATTAATTTATGTTATTGCAGCAACTAATATGTTCACATCAGATTTTATAATAATGCTTATTTGTTTTACATTTAAAATAAGTGTGTGAAAGAAATTGCAATTTGAGAAAGTAATAAATGTGGATTTGGTGAAAACATTTCATAAACAATTAAAGTTTTAGATTTACCTTTTTCTGTTTTACTGTTCATTAAAGTTTTGAATGGATATATATATATATATAGGATTGAGTAATTTGACAAACTTGAAGTACTTGGATTTAAGTTGGAATCGAATAGAAAGCCTTCATTCAATGGTATGCATTTACATTTGATCAATTGTCTAGGACATAAATAAAATTTATGCTAATTTTTATGATTAAATTATGTAAATCAATCTTTTATAGATGCTGGTACAAAACTGAAGCAGTTTGCCCATTTAGAAGAGCTTCGTTTAGATGGAAATCTCCTCAACAACAGTGCATTTGCATCCCTAAAAGTGTTTTCAAATCTGAAGAAGTTGAGCATGAGCGGAAATCTGTTAAAAGGATCATTAGATATGAAAGGTAAAAGCATCTTTTTTCTGTCAAAATTCTTCCAAGTCTGTTAACAAAACTATTAATAACGTTCTGATCAATGGAGTTTATCTCTTATTTCTTTTCTCAGATTTGGATATTTACCAACTTAAGGGAACTACATATGAGCGTTAATCAGTTTAAAGACATTGTGATCCACAAAGGTATCATTTAAATAAAACTTAGTTTTTGCTTAAACAAAGTAATTATCTGAAAATGATCCACCAGGTGATTACTTATATTAAAATAGGAAATCTAGAAAAGAGAAAAACTGTAATAATAAAATGAAAGAACCAATAAGTTGGTCTGGGATGAGGCACTAGGTCATTTAAGCAAGGTCAGGGGTTCGAATCTTGATGTTTGTGAATGAAGCAAACTGTGTTGGGAGGGTAACCTTTGCCTCTGTAATATCTGATCTGGATTTCAGTGATTTATTAGAAAATAAATAAAATGAAAGAAGAGTAATGTAAAGCTTATTGGTTCCTTACCGAATCAAGGTGTAAATTTATGGCTCAAATCTAGACCTCGTAATTTTTCAAATATAATTTGGGTAAATTGCATGTTTAGTATATAAACTATCAGTTTTCTTAAAACTATACTTTACGTTTAGTTTTTGTTTCATTTAGTACATTATCATTGAAAACTTAAACGCACTGCATTTTTATGGGTAAATTCTTTCATTCATCACTCAATTATCTTCACTCCTATTTTGGTACTAAAATTCAAAAAAATTCAATTTAACTACTCAACTTTGAAATCACTTTCATTTTATCACACTAACATATTTATTATAATTTTTGTGACATGACATTTTTTATTAAAAAGTTTGAGTGATTAAATCAGGAGTAGTTTGAAAGTTAAGTAATTAAATTAAGAAAAAATTAAACTTTAGTGCCCAAAATAGGAGTGAGAAGATAGTTGAGGGTGATGAATGATGCAATTTACCCTTAAAAACGGTGCCATGTGCAAATAACCGTTTTAGTTTTTAACAACGGGATACTAAAATGAAACAAGAACTAAAACTTAGGTATGGTTTGAAAATTTTAAAAGTTTAGGTACTAAAATTGATAGTTTATGTAGTAAATGTATAATTTACCCATATTTTTAGGTACTACAACTTATGCTTGTTTGGAGCATGAAAAAATTGCTCTCCTGCAACTCAAACCTTTCTTCAATGGTTTCGATTATCTGAATAACTGGGATGAGGTGGAGATCCCTAATTGCTTTAAATGGAAAGGGACACCACCACAGGGCGACTCAAAAGACTCGACATTAGTTACACAATGTATGGTAACAAGGGGTGTATCTGAATGCCTCTATGTTTCTTCCCTTTGTGGAATTGAAGAGTCTTTATTTAGGAAGTAATGCCATTGCTGGTTGCATTCAAAATGAAGGTCTTGCCCTTACTTTCATCTTTTATTATTCCACTATACACAGGTTTTCATCAAAAACTAGCTGTTGTTTTTGCAATTAGCCATAATTGTTACGTTTATTCTATTGAAGAAAAGCCACTAACTCCTTTTATGTATTTAAAAAATATTTTTGCATGTTTTAAAAAACTCTCAACTGCATTGAATAATTTGGAGATTCTTGACTTAAGTTGGAACCAGTTGAATGATAGTAGCATGCTATCTTTGAGTGAGCTTTCGTCTCTCCGGTATTTATATCTAGGAGGCAATCAAATCCAAGGATCAAGTCATTCAATTAAGTTAATTAATCAAATAAACTTAAACATGGAATATTATCATTTATTTATGTTATTGCAGCAACTAATATGTCCACATCAGATTTTTAATTTTAGATGGCAATTAACCCTACGTTGTTTTCAAGTTGGTCAACTTATAAAATATTCAGTATCCGATGATATTAATTAGGGACATGTTGTTTCTACAATAGATGAAGCACAATTGAGGCTACCAAAGTTGCAGAAACTTGATTTGAGTTTTAATCACTTTCGGGACAACACGTTTTCGTTCCTTGAGGGACTTTCAAACCTAGAATCCTTGGCTATGATCGACAACAATTTGCAAGGTTCGATAGATATTAAAGGTAATAAAACTGTAACCTTTTTCACATTTGATGATTTTTCATTATCAATTAAAGTTTTAGATTTACCTTTTTTCTGTTTTACTGTTCATTAAAGTTTTGAATTGATATATATATATATAGGATTGAGAAATTTGACAAACTTGAAGTACTTGGATTTACGTTGGAATCAAATAGAAAGCCTTCAATCCTTCAATGGTATGCATTTATATTTGATCAATTGTCTCAGACATAAATAAAATTTATGCTAATCTTTTTTTATGATTAAATTATTTAAATCAATCTTTTATAGATGCTGGTACAAAACTGAAGCAGTTTGCCCATTTAGAAGAGCTTCGTTTAGATGGAAATCTCCTCAACAACAGTGCATTTGCATCCCTAAAAGTGTTTTCAAATCTGAAGAAGTTGAGCATGAGCGAAAATCTGTTAAAAGGATCATTAGATATGAAAGGTAAAAGCATCTTTTTTCTGTCAAAATTCTTCCAAGTCTGTTAACAAAACTATTAATAACGTTCTGATCAATGGAGTTTATCTCTTATTTTTCTTTTCTCAGATTTGGATATATTTACCAACTTAAGGGAACTAGATATGAGCCGTAATCAATTTAAAGACATTGTGATCCACAAAGGTATCATTTAAATAAACTTAGTTTTTGCTTAAACAAAGTAATTATCTGAAAATGATCCATCAGTGGATTACTTATATTGAAAATAGGAAATCTAGAAAAAGAGAAAAACTGTATAATTAATAAAATGAAAGAAGAACCAACAAGTTTGTCTAGTGAGATGAGGCACTAGTCACTTCAGCAAGGTCAGGGGTTCGAATCCTGGCGTTTGCGAATATAAAACTGGGTGGGAGGGTCACCCTCGCCTCTACAGTATTTTTTTTTGATAGGAAAGAAGATTTATTAAAATCACGAGTCGAAGTACAACTTATGAGTCTCGTTAAAAACCTCCCTAATCTAATTGGAGGAAAAGAGTGTGCATAAGAGAAACACTACAAACACAACCAAAAAACGAAAGCCATGCATACAATGATCACCAACACCTAATGAAAGCAACTCAAAAACATCAACGCGAACAATGATCTCAAGAGTGATCCAAAGACATCCAAACCGTTCCAAAATCTCAAAAGCGGACCACCATAGAAAAAAGTCGATGAAGAGACCGCAACCAAGCACCATATGAGTGAAACCGACTTGCAATGCTAGAAGCCTCCAATAAGCACTACTTCGGTAACTAAGAGAAGACTGCCTGGATGCAACGATAGAAAACCTAGGCAATTATAAAACCTCATGCGCCCCACTAACCCTTCTAGTGCCCCACAAGCCTCCACAAATGAAATATTAAATTTAAAGCCTGACACAATGTAAAAGTGCTTCCCCGCTACACACTGTTTTGAACCATGAGATTATAAAACACAAAACACTAGGCGTAATATAAATTGCTTCCCCAACATTGCTTTGGATTTAAAAAAATCCAAAATCCCAACGGTAAACTAAAGCAAGCTGCGCAACACGTCCTACAATCGCCCAAAATACACTCACATGCAGACCACCTCCTATCGCCAAAGCGTTATGCACTAGAAATACCACTCCACTATCTAAGAAAGACAAAATTTAGATACCCCATAACGCAGTATATGGAACTTTATATAAACCTTCAAAAGCGACTCAGAATTCAACCTCAACTCCACTACCACCCAAATAACTTTCTTCAAAGCATAAAAAATCCTTTCTCTGATATGAAAAGTCGCAAGAAACTTCTCCATAAAAAACCCATAACTCATGAACAAACCAAGACGTCCTAGATAACGACACTCTAACTATAGCACCAACCCACCAAAAACGCCTCAAAGCCAATAAAACGAACTCAAAACAAACCAATCTAAATTCTTAGACTCACACCTCCCCTACTAAAAAATAAAAATCACTAGACGGCTTACACACTAAAGAAAACTGAAAATCTCCCGAAACCTAAACCCCCACTACAAGTCAAAGAAAACCACAAAGAGCCCTTAATCTAACCAACTCTAGGACCTCCATCAACAATCAAAAGCAAAGGAACATACTAGGTAGCTGAAATACTCCCGATTCTTAAACCCCACTACAAGTCGAAACAAACCAAACACAAACCCTTCAGCTAGACTTTTTCAGGACCTCCCAAAAAAAATCCACGGTAGGGACCTCACCAACCGAAAACCAAAAAGGAAAACTTAACACCTGCCCTACAACACCCTCTCTACCCTCAACACAAATCTAACTTCACTAACTCATCAAGAACCTTCCTATCAGGCTCAACCAAAGTTATACCAAGCATCTTTGCTACTGACAGAGTCTCCTCGGCTTCAGCATACGCAGCTTTCCACTTTTTCTTTAAGTCGGAATCTGAAATAGATCTACCTGATAATTCAGTAGATTCCAGATCGGACTTCTTGAACTTGGAATTCTTCAGCGCTCGATCTCTTCGACTCCTCTCAGCTTTCGATAGAACTGAGTCCTGAATCTCCAACAAAGAACCAAATTTCTGCATCTTCTTTTTATTCCTAATAGACACTTCTGGAACACATGACATCTTCTAGTACTCCCCGAAACTCTCATTTCCCGATCTTCGTTATGTTAACGTCGCCTAATTCCAAAGAGTTAACAGGACCCAAAACTAAATCATTACTCCTCCCCCTGAATCCACCAGAAAATCTCTACGAGAATCTAATAAAAATCCATTCTTTAAACCCATCCTTAAAGGAGGCTCAATTTCTGGAGAAACAATTTCAGAAGCACCCACCAATACTCTATCCTCCAACTTTGAAGTCCCGTCTATAATAGGACTGACCACATTTGGCTCGACAACCAGATTCTCAACCCCATCGATATCCACTCCTTGCAACCCCACGAGATTACAATGATCTGAAATTTCAAGGCCAACACTCTGGCCACCTTCCTCGACACCACAGTCGACCTCAATCGGCTTCCCCAAACTAGCCTTTTTATGGCAGCAAAGACTATCCACAGAGCAAGAAGGAGACCCTTTCTTGCCATCAGAACTTCCCGACTCAGAAGCCACCGTCAGATCATCTTTAACCGGAGAAACACCTGAATTATTAACCTCACCCTCAGCCCCTTCCTTCTCAACCTCAATCTCTTTTTTCTTCAGGATTTCAGATTTAGACAAATTGCCTAAAGAATGGTCCACCATCCTAACTTCAAGAATGCGAACATCAAATTTATTTTCCTCCACCACTACATCTACAACTTCATCAATCCGAGTTTCCGAAGAAGTAGAAATCAGCACATTAACTTTCTCACAATCTAAATGATGGTTAATGTTATCACCAAACGCCTCAAAGTACCCCACAAACCCACTATTCTTTTCAGAGTGACAGCATTACAGCAATGTAACGATAAACCCTCTATCTCTAATCAAACAACTCTCTCCTTCTGGCAGAAAGACTCTGTCCAAAACATAACATCCACGAAAATCTCCTTCAAATAAGACCACCGAAGGTCTTCAAGCATGATAAAAAGATCTTCATCCTCGATGGAGAGCAGAAAAGAGTTCCCACGAAGTCTTTGAACTTTAATTTCCCCTAAACCCCAATTAGATTATCTATCAACAATACTCCCAACACTACAAACACCAGCCATAACACCCACCAAACACCTCTTCAACTTTCTTACTTCGTCCTCAACCACATGCCCCTCAACTTTCTTTCTGGAAACACACGCTAGGCTATCTTCCTTAGTTTGAGAAATACCGGTTGCAATAGGATTTACAGTATTTCCTTTCCAAGGCCCTTTACACTGCGCACATTTATCCTTCATAGCCTTCAAAGAATACTTAGCAAAACTCACTGAGATGCGACTACCATACACCATAAGACCATTCAACCGTTCCTTAACTCTATCAGTCTACCATGTTGCCAACTTTTACGAAACCAAACCTAGAACTTGCTCGACTCCTCTTCGACGGAAGATACACACTCAAAACCTCACCATAACGACCCACAATCTGCCATAACCCTTTCCAGTGAATAGAGTTTTGTAAGTTATCCACAAACAAAAAGATTGGATATCGTGATTAATTTTCAAAAATAAAATAAAATGAAAGAAGAGTAATTGTAAAGCTTCAACATAACACATTCTTTTCATTATTAAAATATTTATCTACTCCTTTCTCTCACAGAAATTAAGGGATTGAAAAAGTTAAAAGTTGTTTATCTCGATACGGCTTTCACCGATGGAAGTATTTCGCTGCTGAACTTGGTCGAGGCTTTTTCAACAGTTAAGACCTTGTCTCTAGTTGGCAATCATCTGAACAAGGCTATGAGTACTCAAGGTAAGTCATTGTTTTCAATTCCAACACTACTTTATTATGTTTGATTAACTTCTAATACCAACTGCCATTTATTAGGATTAAATCTGTCGACGAACGTGGAGGAAATACTTCTCCAAGAGTCTACTCTCAACACTAATATTTTACAGAGCATTGGAGTAATCACTTCTCTTAAAACTCTGTCTTTATCTGATTGTGGACTTATTGGTCCCTTACCTAATCAAGGTACATTTATGGCTCAAATCTAGACCTCATAATTTTTCAAATATAATTTGGGTAAATTGCATGTTTAGTACATAAACTATCAGTTTTCTTAAAACTATACTTAACGTTTAGTTTTTGTTTCATTTTAGTACATTATAGTTGAAAACTTAACGGCACTGCATTTTTATGAGTAAATTATATCATTCATCCCTCAACTATCTTCTCACTCCTATTTTCGTACTAAAGTTCAAAGAATTTCAATTTAACTACTCAACTTTCAAATTACTCCCATTTTAATCACACTAATATATTTTATTCATAATTTTTGTGACATGACATTTTTGATTAAAAAGTTTGAGTGATTAAATCAGGAGTAATTTGAAAGTTAAGTAATTAAATTAAGAAAAATTAAACTTTAGTGCCCAAAATAGGAGTGAGAAGATAGTTGAGGGTGATGAATAATGCAATTTACCCTTAAAACGGTACCACGTGCAAATAACCGTTTAAGTTTTTTAACAACGGGGGTACTAAAATGAAACAAAAACTTAAACTTAGGTATGGTTTTGAAAAATTTAAAAGTTTAGGTACTAAAATTGATAGTTTATGTACTAAATGTATAATTTACCCATATAATTTCTAGAATGTATCTCTTCAATATTTTTTCATCAACTTTCTTTTATTTAATATTTTTTTTCAAACCAATTTTAATTAGAATTTCTATTACAAAATTTATAATATTTTCAGGATGGTGTGATCTAAAAAAGCTTGAAATATTGGATGTGAGTTGGAATACACTTGAAGGGATGCTTCCTCGTTGTTTGAGTAACTTCACTTCTCTTCGTGAGTTATATATGTCCGACAATCGACTCAATGGAAATCTAATTCCTTTAACAAATCTTACATCACTTGGTGAGTT